CGTCCAAGCCTGCTCCTTTCTGAGGTGATCGAGCTGGCTGTGCCCTTTTTGATTTTCGCAGGAAAACAGAAATAACCTTTTCCTGCTGCCCCTGCCTTTTGGGAAGGGCACCAAAAGGGGTGCATCCCGCTGCGATGCCAGAGCTGGCTGTGCTGGGGGAGAGACAAGGGGCTGAGCTGACATCCCCTGGCCCATGGGGCCGTGGAGATGAGCCCTTGCCCCCCTTTTAGTCTTCCCTTCCTCTCCTGCACGGACCAGGGTGCCGTGACCTTGCCTGGGGGGCTCTAAGCACGGAGTCTGGGCCGTGGCCAAGCACCAGGGCACCGCAAAGGATCCGCTCCCCTCCTTCCAAAAGGCTTTGTGCTGGGCAGGGCTCCCTCTGGCTACGGGGCCGTGCCGGGTGCGACCTCGGGTTTTGTTCTGCCCGGCTCGTAAACCTTCGCTCTTCTTTTCATTCGGCCTCAGCTGGCGGAGGTGCTGTCTCTTCCCTCCTCTAGCGGAAGGATGCCGCCACTGAAGCCAGCTCTCCAGGCAGCCAAAGGTGCCGACAGAGCACCCTCAGCCCCCTTGGGGACCGTGGCACCAGCTTTTCCCATGGGAGCAGGCAGGCTCCGAGCCCTTTTTGGGGGAAAACCCACCCCTGGGGGTACAAACAAAGGGAAAACGGGGCTGAAATCTCAGCGTGCCGTCCCTCCGAAGCGTAAAAAGAGGCAGCGTGGCCGCGCTCTTGCTGCATTCTTTCGAACCAACAAGTCTTCGCCGCGTTAGCGCCGCCGTCTCGTGCCACCTCCTCTCCTCTGGAAACGGGCCCAGCTGGGGATTCACGGGGCAGATAATTGGAATGGTCCCCCCCGGCCTCTAAAACCCATGAATCACTCCGGGAGCCGGGCACTTTACGCGCATTAGCGAATTAATCCTTCCAGACTTTGAGCGAGGGAAGGGGGGGGGAATTAGCGTGGGCATTGCTCAGCTGGGAAATGGGGGGGATGGAGCCCGGATCTCACGTGGGAACCTGGGGGGGTCGCATCACTCAGGAGCCGGCACCGCTCACCTTTGGGCACCCGTGACCCCTGCATTAGTTACCTCTACGGCTGTGCCGGGCGCACGGGGGGGGGGGAAATCCATCCAGCCTGCCCCCCGAGGTGGTGCTTGGAGGGTGGCGGAGACCCCGAGACACCCCCCCAAGCCCCCTTGTCGTGGGATGCTCACACCGAGGTGGGCTCTGGGGTGGCTCCTTTGGAAGTCGGTGCCTTTTTGCTCCAGCTCAGCCCGTGCCGTTTCCCTCCAGCGCCGCGCCTGCCGGGCACGTGCTGTCTCCTTTTGTCTCCCATCCTATCCAGGTGTCTCAGCCACGCTGCTGTGCCCGGGGTCGGAGCAGCCTTTGGGCTTCCCCGTCTTAACAGCAGCTGTTAACTCAGCCCCGTGAGGAGCCTGATGCGGCCAGGTTTGGCTCCCCACCCCTCCTAAATCCCAAGGTTTGCGCTCTCTGCAAGGCAAAGCCTCCTTTTCCCAAGCTTTGTGCCGCCGCAGCCCGCACCCCGTCTGTGTTAAAACTGAATTTCGGCCAGGTGGCTGGCTCAGCACCGCAGCCACTGGTTGTGTTCTCCGAAAATGAGTGTCAAGGTTAAAAAACAGGTACACAGCTCACACACCGTGGCTACCACCAGCGAGCACCTGGCCACTGGGCTCGGTGTGGTGGGTTCAGCACTCCCTAACCCTCCCTTTGCATGGGATTTATCCTGCATGGGACACATCCAGCTCTGATTTTGCCTCTGAGGGCAGAGCTCCTCAGCTCTCGGGGGGCTTTCTGTGCCGGGCTGGAGCCCGTGCTGTGCCTCCAGGCTGTGTCAGGGGACACACCGTGCTCCGTTCGCCCGCGGTTTGAGTGCGGTCGAAGGCTTTACGCATGCAGAAGCGAGGAGAAACCCTAAGCAACCCCTTGTTTTTCATGTCCTGCGTCTTAAATCGATGGAAAATGTTTCTGCCTGAAGATCCAGGCTTCAGCCTGCTGCGTTTATTCTCTGGCTCTTGTTCTGGCAGAGATGGCACGGCGGTCCAGCTGGAAGTATTGTGCCCTATTAAATAAAGATTTTTAAATGAGCACGCTTATTCATCGAGCTGTCACAGCCTGTTGAGTAAAGAATGCAGACTGTCCAGCCTTAATCTGCCTCAAATCTGTTTTCTCCAAAAAGCTGAGACTGCCTCTTGGGTAAATAAACCCAGCCCCGTGTTTACCCAAACCCCAAATGCCATCGGCGTGCTCCAACCCTCGCACCGAAGGCAGCGGCCGGAGCTCCCGGAGCCATCACAGGGGGAGAAAAGAGCCGAAATGGGGGCTGTTGGTGGCATTTAGACCTGATTTTAGGCTGCTGCCGCTCGCAGGGTCGCTGCTTTCGGGGCCGATGCACGCCGCGGGGGCGGCCGCGGCATCCTCAGCTCCGCGCGGCTGTCCCTCGCCCCAAAGACTTTACAGCCTACATCTTCTTTTTAATTCAGACACCCGCAAACTAGCAGGCTGAAATAACACTGCTATATGTCAGCTGCTGATGGAAGGAGATTAAATATTAAAGCCGGTGCTGTGGCTTTAACTCATTCGCCCTTTTTTTTTTTTTTTTTTCCCTATCCCCCCTCCTTCTTTCCCCCCGCTCTCCCCCCTGCTTTCTTCTCTGTGTAAAATGACATGATTTAGAACTGAAGTGCCAGACTCAGCCTCTAGGTTTCGGCGTTTGGAAATGCATGTAGAAAGATATATTGTGTCTGTGAGCATTTCTGTGCAGAGAAAGAGAGAGCTCCGCAGCTAGTAAGACCACATAAAGATGTTAAATAGAGCTGTAACGCGCGCCGAAAGCAGCAAAAGTGCCCTAGAAAAAAAAAAAAATCCTGCACGGAGCAAAATGAAAGATTAAAATAAATTCAGCAGTACCAACGCTGCCAAGTCCGGGCTGAAACGTGCCCCGTGCTGGAGCCAGGGCTGCTGGGGAGGATGTGGGGGGGGAAATGTGGCCCTATTCACCCCCTTCTCACCCTAAAAATCTCCTTTATTTACCTAGCACAAGCCCAAATGGGAGAACTGGGCATTTTCTTCATTTTCCTTTTTTTTTTTCCCCTCCTGTGTCTGCGTAGCGGCCGCCTGCCTGCTCAATATTCATCGGGAACCGGCTGCTCCTCCGTCCTCATGAAAAAAAAAATGAAAATCCTGATTTATTCTCCTCCGCTTACCGTAACCCACCCTTTTTCCTCCGATAACGGCTCGTCAGCGCGTCGAGCGGGGGCTGGCAGCCGGTATTTTGGGCCAAAAGTGTGACAAAGCGCCGGTGCCAACCCTGCCCCCCCCCCCCTTTCCGCCAGCGTTTTATGGCGCGGCGCAAAACGAGGCTGCAAAATTTGGGCTCCCTCGGCGAAACGGCGGCGGCTTCAAAATCCCACCCCGGGGCTGCGCCTCGCTCGCTCCTCTCCTTTGTTCGCGGAGATTTGTGACGCCCGTTTGGAAACCAGTCACATCGGGGCTGGAGCTGGGGGGCTGAGGTTTTGCTGAAGCTGCTGGGAGCGTGGAGAAAAAAAATAAAAATAAAAACACGGCAGAAATGTGTGGGGGTCTTTAGCAAAAGTGTTGGGAAGTGGGATTTAGGTTTAGCTGCAGAGCACACCAGGAAAGCCGCTGCGTGCGCACCCGGGGTTAAGCAGGCGAAAACCTCTTTGTGGAGCTGCCTGCAAGGGTGTAAAAGCTCTGACCCCTTTTAATTCGAGCCCCGGTTACGAGTCACCATCAAAAACCTTATGGACCTGTCTGTTGTAACATATTTTAAGGCTGCTGTGCAGAACGAGCCTGGTGCTGTACCCAAGGGGGAGGCGGATGGGATGCGCACGGAGGCGCCCGATGTCTGCCGGCACCGGGGTGGCAGCTCCTGGGTTAGAAACGTGGCTTTGCCCGAGCGAAAAATCGAGCCCTGAGCGAAAAATCGAGCCCTAAATAAGCATCGGGAGGAGAGGGCGAAGCGGGGTGTCGCGCTCGAGCTAACCCACCCAAACAGGTGGCTTTGGGGTGGTGCGAGGAAAAAAAAAAAAGGACGGGGGAAAGGGCGGAAATTCTCCGCCGCGGCACCGGCTCTTTCTAGAAACGAGAGGAAAAAAAAAAAAAAATCCGGCCAGCCCGCTGCTGCACGGCTGCTGGCTGCGTAAAAATCCTGCAGCACGGCCCGTGCGGTGCCCTGCGCCTCGCGCTTTGTCGCAGTCTGTTCGGAGAGGCGCAATCCATCCTCGGCTCCCGATTATCATTTGCTTTAACTCTGTCCTCGCCTCTCTCCCCCGCGCCCTCCGCCTCGCGCGGCGCTGATGGCAGCGAGCCCTTTTGTCTGCCTCTCGGCCCTGCGGGGTTCCCAAAAGCACGGCCCAAAAATGTTTGTTTTTTGTTTTTTTTCAGCCGCAGGTGGAATTTCAGGAGGCGTTTTTATGGCACGCCAAGGGCGCACCCCCCCCACCCCATCCCCGGCACGGCACCGCCACCGAGAGCCGCGTCCATCCCACATCGTAAAGCCCCGGGGCTGAACGGCCACCCTGGTGCCAGCTCTGCTGAAAAAAAATAATAATAAAGCTGATTGACCCCTAATTCCCCTAATTTGTCCCTCCATCAGCCAGCAATCGAGCGGCACATTTCGCCGAGTGGCGCGGTGACCGTTTGCGTCGCCGAGCTCGGCTGCAGCCACCGGCGCAGCCCTGCCGCTTAAAAAACAACAACAAAAAAAAGGATTATTCCAAATATTTGTCCCCCGTCCGCCAGAAGGCCGCCTAATGGCTTTTTGGTTTCGAGCTCTGTGTTCACACCCCGCTTCTCCAACAATCTGTCCCGCTCTGGTTTTGCTTAACGCTCGGCAGCGATTGTGTTACAGCCGCTCTCCGGGCGGCTCTCTCCCCCCCCTTACCCCCCCCCAAAGCCTGCTGCAGGATGTACCGTAAAACCCAAAATGCATTTATTCACCATTTTCTAAATTGTTTCATTTCAGAGGTTTACAAACGAGGACCACCTGGCGGTTCATAAACACAAGCATGAGATGACATTGAAATTCGGCCCTGCTCGAACCGACTCAGTCATCATAGCAGGTATGCGGCGCTCAACCCAGGCCAACTCGGAAAATGGTGCACATTAATATAGCATGACTGCAAGATTAATACCGGGGACCAGATGCACTGAAAAACGTCCCTACCTCCCATAAAAAGCTCTTGTGATCTGCATTTAATCAGGAGGAAAGGAAAGCCAGAGGCTTCCAAGTTTCTTTTTTTTTTTCTTTTTTTTTTTTTTTTCTTTATTTTATGGTGGTATCAGGTTTTGTGGGGGGTTTTTTTGTTTGCCTTTTTTTTTTTTTTGCCTTTTTTTTTTTTTTTTTTTAAAAAAGCTCTCACCCTTTTTATTAAGCCTGGAAGATTTATGGACAAAAAAGGTCTTTCACGTTCCTGCCTGGGCTTTGAGGACGATGAACCAAATCTGACAAACCCAGCTTCCTCCCCTCAGCCCAGGTGTCAATTTCCTCGAGCTTTTGGGCCAGCAGTTAATAAATTAAAACGCCGCCGAGTGCTCCGGCTACTGCCGAGAGCGCGTTTGGAGAGCCCGACCGAGGCGCTCTGGCAGCGCGCGGTCAATGCAGCCTTTATAAGACTGGGGGGGGGAAAAAAAAAAAAAAGTGTATTGTCTGGCAGCAGATCACTGCCACTTACAGACCCTCTCCTGCCTTGTCGGGCTCCTCTTTTGGGCTAAATGGAGCGGGGTTTGTGTTCCCCTTGGTAAAAGGAGAAGCCGTTCCGAATGGGATCAGGCGAACGGGATTTGATGATGAAAATTTTGGGCTTGAAGGGTCCTTGGGTTCCTAAAGATGAGTTTTCCTTCAGTTCGCCCCCTGTGTCAGTAGGATGCAGGGGGGGTGGGTTCCCTTCTGCTTGTAAACCCAGGGGGGGGCTGGCTGGGAGGTGCAGTGGGGGGATCACAGCCCCGTCTCCCCCTGAAGCCCCCCGTTAAAAGCCCTCAGCTTTGCTTCTCCTGGGTGCGAACCCTTCAGGATAAAACCCAGCGTGGGGATGAAACTGGGGGGATTTAGCACAAGGAACAGCGGCGAGGGCTGATGGAGCCCCCCCCCCCCCAAAGCAGAGCTTTTCTTGGCTGCTGCTCAATGGGTCGCTGCAGGGTAAATCACAAAGAAAAAAAAATAAAAATAATAAAAAATAAATAAATAAATAAAAACCACAAGCCAACAACCTATTTAGCTGTGGTCAGCACGAGCCCATTTAACGCGAGCATCCCTCCTGTTGTAAAGCCACCATTTTGTCCCTTTTGTCCCTGGGTTTTCTCCTTCTCCCCCTCCCTCCTGCTTTGTGCTGAGCCCGGGGCAGCAGCCCCCGCGTTAACGAGCGGGATTTCGGCAGGATTTCAGCCTCCCTTGAGCCGTGAGGGATCTGTCCCCCTCCGCCCGTTACAGCAGAGGCAGATTTAGGTGAGGATGTTCACTTTTGGGGTTCTGAGCTGCTGCAGTTCCTGGTGGTAGGAGTGGGACACGAGTAGGACGAGGGAGGTGACGCTCCTTCGCTCGGTGGCACCGTGGAGACTCCTCGGAAGGACATTGCCAAACGGGGAACGGTCCGAAAAGAGCCACGAGAGCCCTAAAAACCCTGCAAAAGCAGCCTCCCGTTGACGAAGTTTCGTAGCTTAATGAAGAGAGGTCTGGGGGGAAGCGGAGTGTGCTCAGAGGGGGTCTGGGCTTTATTACCTGGGGATCCCCTTTTGTGCTCCCAAACGTGCCAAAAGTTTTCGGCCAGCCGGCTCCTGCCGTGGCAGGGCTCCCGACCTCACGTCTCCGGGAGCCTCCTGCCTGCTTTACGGCCTGGGCGATGGCCAGAGGGATCACGACTCGACGTGTTAATAGGGTGGAAAACGGGCCCCGTGGGGATTGCTTCGGGCAGTGGTGCTGAGCAGCGCTCCCGCGTCCGTCCCGGGATGCGCCTTGGTGCTCCGCGCTCGCGCCAGCCACGGGGCCGCTCCGTTTGGCCGCTTCCCCTCCAAACCCTCCGTGTTTTAAAGGTCTGACCATTCAGGGAGACCAAACCCCGCTATTTTCCCTTCTTTCTGGTACCATTTCAGCCGAGAACGGGCAAAACCCCAGGGTGGGAGGGATGGGGCAGCACCCGGGCAGGAATCTCACCGAAATCACTGCACGCCACTCGCCGCAGTGATTTATTTCCCAGCACCATTTAGCAGCGAGACAAAATCAAGGAGAAATTCTTTTCCCGAGTTGTCGCTTGCTTCGCAGACACGACACACACCTTGGCAGGAAAGCAGCCAGGCTTCTGCAAAGCAGAGGCCACGCATTTTGGGGCGTCCCCGGAGAGGGTGAAGGGGGTTTGGGGGATTTTCTGGCCTCTCTCTGACTGCTGCTCCGTGTTTGCCTCCCGAACAGATCAGACCCCGACCCCGACTCGGTTCCTGAAGAACTGCGAGGAGGTGGGACTCTTCAACGAGCTGGCCAGCTCCTTCGAGCACGAGTTCAAGAAAGCTGCGGAGGATGACGAGAAAAAGGCAAGAGGCGAAGGCCGCCAGCGCTGCCCTAAAAGCGAGCCGTGCGATATTTCGGGGCCGGGGGGGATGGAGCTGGTCTGATGGAAGGCATATGGCACGGCACGGTCTCGGGTTTAATGTGCTGGCTCACGCGGGACTTTATTTTTTTAACTCGGGTGACTTTGGCTGGCAGGCCTGCAACCCGAGTTCGAGCGGGTTTTAGCGGTTTTATTATTCCTTCGGCTTTTCGCTTCCAAAAAATGAAAAAAAAAGGGCAGTGCCCCAAACGCCTTGCATCGCGGGAAGGAGACGCAGGAAAATGGGGACCATGAAATGCTCCGGGGCTGAGCAAAATGCCCTCGGGGATCGGGATCCTGGGTGCTGCTGCCTTTAAGGTGCAGCCGCGGCCCCCCCAAAACGGCTCCTCCTGTGCTCCCTGCAAGGGCACCGAGCTCTCGCGGCGCCTGAGCTGCGAACAGAGAGAGGGGCTCCAGCAGGAGAGAGGCTTTTCCTAACAAAGAGCTCCCTCATATGCAAGCAGGATCGATTCAGGCTGCCCCTGCCAACCCCGGGTCTGAAGGACAACGGGATCTCGTCAGATAGCAGCTAATTAAGGACATTTCCCCCCCCCCAATCCCCTCCCCTCCCCATCTCCAGGATCGGAGGAGCAGCAGATGCGGGCCGGGCTCTGGGGCTGGCACATACATTTACTAAATTGATGTATGGATGTACATACGCTCGCAGTCAGCGGCGCTGCTCGGAAATAAACTGCGGGAGCAGAGCCGCGTAAATCTTCGCCGAGATGGGGAACGGAGGAATTCAGAATTAAAACCGAAAATTGTCTCCCCCCCCCTACACACCCCCCCAAGCTCTCCTAATAACAGGGCTCTTTAAAGCAGAAATTGATCTCTCTCATTGGTATGCTGCAGGGCCTTGCCGGGGCGTTTTATGCTCTGAATTCCCTGCCTTTTGTTCTCGGCAGCCCAGACCGGGCGCGCTGGGAGAAGGTAGCTTTTCGCTTGTGGTTTCACGTCGAAATGGCTGAGCAGCCCACAGTCTAGCCAGTCGTTTTATAGGGAAGACCACCCATATCCTGTGCTCCGCTACCTAATAGCTGCAGCTAAGACCCTTTAGGCTCTTGGATGTTTTTTCTGCTTTTTTTTTTTTTTTTTTTTTTTTTGCTTTAGGATGACTGCAGTCAAAATATTTCCGCCAGCAGCCCGGCGAACGCGGCGGCTTGAAGCTCGGGGGTGGTTTCGGGCGCAAGGAAAAGCATTTTTATCCCTCCCCGAAAAATCTCTGCACACGCGAGAGCCCCGGGCCCAGATGGCTTGTCACTCCCTGAGCCTGGCCAGAGCTGCCTGCTGCATTTCTGGGATGCTTTGAACATTTGGCCGCGTCCAGCCCAGTCGCTGCTGGTGTGTTTTGTCCTCCGGTTTTCCAAGGGTGGTCTCGACACCAGCACGTTAATTAAAAACATAGGCACAGCAGGGGCTTCCCCTGGAGGCACTTTAAGCGGCTTGAAACTTCCCTGCATGTTTTAATCCCTTCTCCTTTGTGCTTCCCAGTGCAGCATCTCTGCTCGGGAGGGCAGGTAACCGGGTACTGCAGGGACCCCGAGCAGAGCTCCTGCGTAAATCACTGCAAGCAGAGAGCGGCCGCCCGGATTCTCCCCCTCGCTGCAATTTTCTCTCCTTCCCCGAGACTTAAAACGCAGGGGAGGTTTAGGTTAGACGCTAGGACGAGCTGTCAGCACTCGGGCAAGCGAAGCAAAAGCACCGGGAGGGATTGCAGCTCGGACAAACGGCCGGCAGCGCCGATGGAGGTGGAGTTTTCTCCTGCCCCAGCCAGGGGGGTGATTTGTGAGCCCATCCTGCAGCCGTCATCCCCCCTCCAGTGCTTCTTCCTCCGGCACGTTGTCTCCTCCCAGCTCTTCTCTTCCTTTAGGTCTGGGGAGGGAAGAGCTCGGTGTCACCTTGTTGTCACCCTGCCCTCGTCCCGTCCCCAAGCAAGCTGCCGGCCGGTTAAAAGGGGGCACGTGGCACTGCTGGAACCCAGGGGGGGTGGCAGGCTGCCAGCTCCAGGCATATGGTTGGGTTTTATTTTAATGGGGAGCTCATAGATATTTAATAACTTGCATGGCTCTTTGTTTGCTTTTGATAATCAGGTAATAAAATAATTCAGGCTGATTTATACAATGCTTTACAGCTCTTCGGTGAATGAAAGTGCCTTCTGTAACTCGCAGGCGTTTGGCTTTGTTACCTGTTCTCCTTAGCGGAGCCCTTTTAGGAAAAAAAAAGAAAAAAAAAAGAGCCCAGTGGAAAGAATCGTGTCTGTGTTACTGAGAAACCACAAAATGGTGCCATCTGGGGCAGAGACCGTCTTGCCTCGGCCTCCGTCTCTGTTTGGACGGGGCCAGCGCGGCGCGGCACCGCTCTCCGCTCCGGGCTCCCAAATGCTCCTTCAGCACAAATAAATAATAATAATAATAATTTGGCCGGGGCTCAGAGCCGGGGCTCTTCCTCTGGGACCGGCCGAATGTTTCACAAACAATGTGAGCTAATTGTCCTTTCGATCCGGGGCTGCTTTTCCCGCAGAGCGCTGGAGCCCTGGACATGTCCCTGCCCTCGACCCCAGACATCAAAATAAAGGAGGAGGAGCCGGTGGAGGTGGACTCGTCCCCCCCAGACAGTCCTGCCTCGAACCCGCCGTCGCCGCAGAGCAAGGAGAAGGTAAGTTTCTGACAGTGTGCCCTGTGGAGGTGTCGTTCCCTCCACCCCCGGAGGAAAGCGAGCCGTTTCTCCGCTCCGTTTGGCTGTGATTTGGGCTCGTGAGGTTCTCGTCTCGTTTGAGAAACAAAGAGAAAAGCTCCCCCCTTCCCTCCCCCCCATGCTCCTCAAATACACGTTTCCTGCACTTAAATCTCCGCCTGGATTTGGCTAATGAAGAAAAAACCTCAGCATCCTCCCCGAGCCTGGCTCCTGGTGCCCGGGGGGGCTTTGGCTGGTGCCTGGGAGCAGGAGATGAGCCCGGGGGGTGACACGGTCTCCATCCGAATAACTTCCCACTGTAGGGACGTTAGCTGGGACAGGGCGGTGATTCGGAGAGGATTCGGGATTATTTCGGAGAGGGGGATTATTTCCCAGTGGCTGCTGCAGGCAGTAGGAGTCTGAATTTCCCTGCCCCATTCCCTGCACTGACTTCAGCTCAGTGTGCCTTCGGGTACGTGGCTCCCCTCCGTGCCTCCGCTCCCAATTCCCCTAATTGCCACTAAATGTCCCTAAAGCCATCAGAGGGTGTCCAGGAGGGTGATGATCAGCCTGACAGCTAACAGCACGACTCCTTTTGTCCCTCGCTCCTCTCTTTAGGAGATCACCTCCAAGCCCGTCATCGTCTCTACGCCCACCCCAACCATCGTGCGCCCGGGCTCGCTGCCTCTGCACTTGGGCTACGACCCCCTGCACCCAACGCTGCCGTCCCCCACCTCCGTCATCACCCAGGCTCCCCCTTCCAACAGGCAGCTCGGGTAAGTACGGAGGAGAGCGACCTGTGCCGAGGTTTTCCTCCCGCACTGTCAAGCTTCCTGGGCAGTAATTAGGTCCCTAAATAAGTTCCTTGATTGCCAGCCCCGCAGAGGTGCCCCGACTCCCCCTGCTGCGGCTGCTCGGGCATTAGGGTCTCGTTGCACGAGCAGGATGGGGTGGAAGTGCAGAAAGCAGGAACTAATTGTCGTAGCGGAACGAAACGAGGCAGAAGGCACCGCGGGGAGAAATGAAACCCAGTCCCCAAACACGGTGACACGAAGTTGGTGTCTGTGATGGGAACACGGCCAGCCGGGGGACTCCCGGGTGGCTTCTCCAGCCTGGTGCGGGGCAGAGAGCTCGGTTAGGAAATTGTCTGCTCCTTGAATGGCTTTGGGATTTCCTCAGACAGCCGTGGCCGCTGAAGTGTGACCCCGGCTCCAACCTGCTGGCCTCCTTCGTGGCCAGCTTCTGCCTCGGGAGCTGTTTGTTTCGGCAGATGTAATGAGCTGCTCCTCCCTGCCCCTATAGCCAGCGGGATCGGAGGCTCCACAGCCCTCGGTGAGGCAGCCCCGGCCCCGCACGTGGAGGGAAGGAGCCCGAAGGATGCAGGAAGCCCTTGACAATGAGCCCTCAGGAGACACCTCTTTAGCCCCACTTCCATTCTGTGCTGTCAGGATGCTGCTTTCTTGCCGTGCTCCTGGCCTCTTTCTAATTGCCCTGGGTGGGGGCTGGCTCCTTGCATTAACCGGGCCATTTGTTTTTTTGGGGCTGTCACTTCATATTTTCGTGTGTGTTTTCGCCCTGACCCCGTGGCACCATCAATCCAGGCTTCCTGACGGAGAGTTTTAAATCCTGTCCTGAGGCATTAAGGGGTTAAGTGATTGTCCTGGGGTTCCAAAAAGGCCTTAACCCCCCCCCCAGGAACCCAGCACGGGCAGAGGCTCGCGGGGCCATTTGGCACCGAGCCCCCCCCTCGCTTGGAGACACGAGAAGATCAGAACTGGGGGGAGCTGGACTTTTAATGGGATTTTGTGTGCCCTTTGCAGCTTGCAGGGCCAGATCCCCCCCGGATCTGAAGCAGGCTCCACGGGGGGGGGTCAAGCTGCAGCTTTAACGAGGGTCCCTGCATTAGGGCCGCGGCAGACGTGGTGGGGTCGCCAGCGTGACAGAGATGGAGGAGAGGCTGTGACCTCCCCGTAACTCGCCTTGTTAGGCCGGGCTTTTCAGAGCAGCCTGGAGGATTTGGGATGCCCAATAGAAGTGAATGAGAGCCGAGCGTTCGCGGTCCCAGGGCAGCCTTAAAAATTCCAGCCTGAGTTATTGGCGTGGCCAGCTCCCCGCTCCGAGCCGCGCTCCCTGCCTCTCCCCACCCCGCTACGACTCCGTGCCAGCTTCCTCCGAGGTCGCAGGCAGCCCAGCCTCCTCTGCCCCCTTCCCCGGGCTCAGAGGAGGCAGCAAGGCAGCAGCAAGGCTTTTTTTTTTAATTCCTCTCCCCCCCAGCCAAGCTGCCAGCAGCTCTGCTCTCCTCCTGGCTCGGCTCTGCCTCCACTCGGCTCCCCGCAGCGCCGGCGCGAAGCGAGGAGGAGCAGGAGGAGCAGCCCTTCCTGGCAGGGACCCTTTCCTTCCTCTTCCCCAGCAGCCAGAGCCGGAGCAGCTCTGGTTTTTTCCTCCCCTTTTCCTAGGGGCAGGCTGGGGCTGGGGGGTTGCAGGCTGTGCGGTGGGGTTGGCAGCACCCTGGGGTGGAGGCAGGGAGCCGGGCGCCTTTTTGTCAGCGCACGCACAACCATCACCTCTCGCTGCAGAGCGATCTCGAGGAGGTTTTCTCCTGAGCTGTCAGGGTCAGAAGCGTTAATGGGGAGCTCAGCCCTGCCGTGGGAGCCCAGCAGATGTGGCTCAGGGGCTGAGAAGCGAGCAGGAGGCAGGGGCTGCTGCCCAGCCCACCCCTCTGCCCGCTGGAGCGCTTCGGGCTCCCCAGGGAGGGAATGCAGCAGCTTTGGAGAGCCCCAGCCCCAGGCAGCAGCGTCTGGATGTGTTTTTCTCTGCGTTCAGGTGGGCAGCACACCTCTGGGCTTTGGCAGCCGTGGGGTTTTGGTTGGCCAGGGGCTGAGCAGGAACGGGAGAATCAGCCCAAATTCGCTGACCAGAATTTGTGCTTCTGCCCCTGAGCTCGTGGGGCTGCCGGGGTGATGCAATGATGAAATATAAGCTTGAAATAATCCACGAGAGCTCGAATTGTCTCCCCAGGTCGCCCACGGGTTCCCTTCCGCTTGTCGTGCAGCTTCCGAACGGGCAGACCATGCCTGTCCTCCCGGGCCCTCCTGTGCAGATGCCTTCTGTGATATCGGTAAGGGACGCTTCCAGCACGGCTCCGCGAGGCAGAGGAGGGGACGGAGTTTTTTCCCCCCTGCCAAATACGTGCGGACAGATCCATTTGGCAAAAAATGAAAACGTTTCTCCCCCTCTGTGCAAGATAAGACTTGAAGAGGAGGAGTAGGAGGGGGGCCAGCTCTGGCAAGGTGGTAATAACGTGTCGATCACACTAGAGGGCAATAAGTCTGGAAAAAAACAAAGCCGTGCCCAGACAGATGGCTCGTGCCATTGATCCAGGGCTGGGAGCTGTAGGATCCCTGATTAGCTGCCTCCATTTGGAACAGCGTGCCTCGATTGAAACCATTCGAGCTTGCAGGGAACATGTTGGTCTTTGCAGGCCAGGAAAGCCACCCCGGCCCCGCCACCGTGCTGAAGTGCTGTTGGAATATGAGCCTTGCGGGTTGTGCTTTTTTTGCACGCAGAGCATTTGCTGTGGTCCAAAATTCATGAGCAGATTTGCCCGGTGGGTGGCTGCTCGGGCTTCGGAGCGTTTCAGCTCCCTGCCAGGCAGCTGGCGTGAATCCTGCCCGTCCTGCTGGGCACGGCTTTTGGCTTCGGAGTGAGTCATGGCCCAAACCCTCAGCCTCAGGTAACGGCGACGCTGACGTCAAAAGAGGCAGATGCACAGGCAGCTCGGGGGCACGGAAACATCTTCACACCTCCCTGCTCGCTGGGAACAAGGCTTGTGTTTGTAGAGCTTTGCAGCAGCGTACCTGGGCGGCTTGTGAGCGCAAATGCAAACCCTGGTGGTTTTTTTTTTTAACCTTGCTCAGGAAAAGGGGGTGCTTTTACCCCTGGTGTTGCTGCAGCTCTGCAGCAGAGCTGGGCAGAGAAGCAGAGGGGTTCTCCTTCCCTCCCTCTCCATCTGCGCTCATTTTCTGGTGAGCAAAAACCTTCCAAGGAGGGAAAGGAGGGAGGCTTCGTGCCACCCACCCTTCTCCCTGTCCCGAGCGCCGGGCTGGTGTAGCTGGGCAATCCTTCAGCAGCCGGCGTGGCCACCAAAGGGGTGGCTGGTGGCCTTCGGTGACAGCAGACATAACGGATGGCAGCAGTTAAGTGCTGAACGTGCGTCAAGCTTTATAAATGGGGAGTTATTACACAGCCACCTCTCGGAGCTCGCCACCGAAAGCGGCGCCGCAGCTTTCTCACGCCCGCGTGTTGCTCCCTCCCCGACAGCTGGCTCGGCCCATGGCCATGGTGCCCAACATTCCCGGTATTCCTGGGCCCCCCATCAACAGCAGCGGCTCCATCTCGCCCTCGGGCCTCCCCGTGCACTCGGAAGCCAAAATGGTAAGTGTCCAAAAACACACCGAGGAGGGCGTCACATCGATGTCCCTCAAACATCCCCGGCTCCTCCAGAAAAAGGTGTCTGGGGGCTTTTTCCCCCCGTGGCTTTCTTGAAGAGCTGCTGCTTGCCTGAAGCCCCGTGCAGCCGCCGGAGCGCTGCCTCGCACCGAGAGCAGGTGTTGGAAATGCCAGCAGGAATATTAGACTAATCAGCGCTGCGGCTCTGGCAGGCAGAGCAGGCACACGCTATTGTGGAGACAAACCTCAGCCCCGTCCTAAACGCGGCTGTTTTGTAAAGCTGGCGCTTCCCAGATCCAAGGGAACAGATGGGCTGGAGGTGGGCTCGAAGGAGGCAGAGCCAAGAGGAGAGATGCTGTGCTGCAATCCAAGGATCCCGGTAATGGGTTTTGTGTCGACTCCTTAAAATTAAAAAAAAAAAAAGTTCCACTGCTGGCTCTTCCACAGCTCGAACTCGGGAGGAAGCAAACCTAAATTTCAGAGCAAAGAGCAACGAAACCCCACAGTTTTGGGTCTGAGACAGGGTGGGGGCATTTGCGGAGCTGCCTCCTAGGGCAGTGCTTGCTCTCCCGTTCCCGGTGCGCCCCACGTTGTCGCTGCTCCCTCCCTGCCCTGCTTTGGGTGTCTGCAGGGTTCATGGGCAGAGCTGGGAGTTTAAAATCTTGCCAGCTGCAGGAGCAATTTTGGGATGCAGGCACCTGCCTGCTCAGGCCTGAGCCGAGCCCTGCAGCCTGCCTTTGGGGCTGGCTCTCATTTGGGATTTGGAGCAGGATAAAACCTTCACGGCACGCGGATCACCCCCGCTGATGTCCCGTTTTCTCCTTCTCCAGAGGCTGAAGGCCAGCTTGACGGCGTCTTCCTCGCTCAACGGCAGCAACCTGGTGGTGGGCTCAGCCAGCACGATGGTGACCGCGCGCCCGGAGCAGAGTCAGATCCTCGTCCAGCACCCCGACGCCCCCTCCCCAGCTCAGCCACAGGTCTGCTGCTGCTCAGCCGACGTGCTGGGGGGTTCTGGGCTTCAGGGAAAGAGGAGGAAAACCTGGCTTGCAGAATGGGTTAAAAACCTTGTTTTTTTTTCACTGCCTCTTCAACGCTAATGCTCTCAAACAGCACCAGGCAGAAAACTTCAGCAACGCGTTAATTTGCGTGACAAGGTCTGGAGTTCTGAAAGAATATTTTGCTCTCTTCTCCCCGCTCAATTACTAGGGTTAAATGCTCCCCTCTTAGGCAATCAACTGCACCGGCTCCTGCCAGCTCGCCAAATGCCAGCCTTCCATCAGGATCGCCACCTGCTCTGTCAGTTAGATAGGCTTCCAAAAGTTTAATATCCATATGCTGCCTGACAGCGAGTACCGAAGTGTAACTGCACTCCCCGATGGTGGCGGTGTAATTACAGAGCCCTTGCAGAAGCGCCGCCGAGGCTGTGCCCGCAGGACCCTCTGCCCTCGCCGCCTTTTCCTTTGTTCTCCCGAAATAAAACGGGGGAATTGTGCGGCGCGGCGGAATCTTTTCAGCCACTTGCCTCCGAGAGCTTGTGGAGCTGAAGACGTTCAGGGAAAATTCAACCCAAATGAATTTTTAAAGCAAATTGCCCGCTCGGAACTGAGCCCGAACGGAGACCGTGCGTCAGAGCGGGGCCGTGCGCTCCCAGCCCTGCAGCTGGAAGTCGCCCTCCGCCGGCTGGCGAGCAGGAGCTGGCTGTGCAGGCACCTCCCCAGTCACACCAAGTTCCTTTTCGAGTCTCTGAAGTGAGATGAGGAGGAAGGCTGTGCCTTTTGCTCTGCCCGTGGTCACTGACCGCATCAGCTCCTCGGCGTTGCGGGGAGGAAGCTTCTGCTCTCGGCTGCGTGCCATCAGCTGGCCGGGCCCCCAGCGTCTCCACGAAGGAGCTTGGCATTTAACTCATTCCCCTGATGTCCACGCATCTTTGGGATCTCAGGGAGTCCAGGTGGATTCACACCTTAAGCTTACAGAGTTCAGCTCCCCCCTTGTAGCCGGGGCTGCCCGTGGTCCCCCCGTGGTGTGCGAAAGCAAACCCCTTTGTGCTCCAGCTGCAGGATCCGACCTCTTTACCAAACCTAGTGGAAACGAGCGGGTTACACCGGGCTGTGCTAGCCACCTGCCTGCCTCAGAGCTTCCTCTCAGCATCTCTCTCCCCTCGCCCCCATCTCCAGGTTTCCCCTGCCCAGCCCACGCCCAGCACCGGCGGGCGGCGGAGGCGCACGGTGGACGAAGACCCCGACGAGCGCCGGCAGCGGTTCCTGGAGCGCAACCGTGCCGCCGCGTCCCGCTGCCGGCAGAAACGCAAGCTCTGGGTGTCTTCCTTGGAGAAGAAAGCCGAGGAGCTCACGACCCAGAACATCCAGCTGAGCGTGAGTATGTAACCGGGGAGGCTGAGCGCAGCCGCTCGCCAGCCCGGCGGCGCTGGGACGGTGGCTCTGGAGGGGACGTCTTCCCCGTGCCGCGGAGCCAAGAGGTGTTTGGATGCTGCTCTCTGGAGCAGGACTGCTGCCTCTGAGCCATTTCACTCCCAGCAGCCAGGGAGGAGCCCTTCAGTGCTCTTCTTTCTCCCCCTGTGCCCCTGGCAAGGGCTCTGCCTCTTCGCCCCGTCAGTGCTGCAGCACCAGGAGCGGTGCCAGCCTCGGGAGGGGAGCTGGAGGCCTCAGGAAGCAGCTGTATTTACAGAGCTGAGGCCTCTCCTGCGTGAGGAAGAGCTCTCTGCTGGCACAGGGGCGCCAGAAGCAGCCCCAGTTCCCTTCCCTGCACGTCAGACCTGGCAGAGGGGCGAGGAGGGGGCTTAGCAGCTGCAGCCGGGCTGATTTTTAGGGAGAATTTGGGGTTTTCTGGCTGCACCCCCTGCCTGCTGAGCAGAAATGCAGCAAATCTGCAAACACGGGCAGCTGAACGTAATTTCACTTGCAATTAGCCCCCTTGTTAATGCACTCAGCATTGGCCAAGGATTGGTCTGCAAAAAATGGAACTCGTGTCCATTCGGGGCTTTTTCTTCCCCTGGTTGCTGGTGACTCATGCAGCGGGATTTTTTTCAATAGCACTGATCATGGTATTTTTATTCTCTTCCCAAGATAATTATAGAAACTGTTTCCTTGGGCAACTCTGAAACACAATTGCCTGAGTTTCAGCTGTTTGTCCAAACATTTCAATAGGGGAATAATGCGCTACACAAAGCTCCTAGGGAAGCGGACCTGTTTTCACGGCACAAAATCAATCTGAAAGGCTCAGAGACTCAGGAAAAGTTATCTTGGAGTTGCAGAGAGGACTAGAGAGCGGGCTGGGTAAGCAGTTAACTGCTCTCCCTTGGCATCAGGGAGGCTCTGGGGAGGGAGGATGGCTCTGTGGTTAGCAAAGCCAGAGCACCAAGCACTGCTGCAGATCGCTGGGGCTCCGTGTGAGTTATTCCCTCTGTGCCACCATCCCTCACCTATAAAACACGGCGTGTTAAAGGTCCAACACCTTCACCTGTGGGACGAAACAGCTCAGGGAGGTGCCTGAGGGCTTGGAGGAGCTCTGCTGCTCCCCAGAGCCTGGCATGGCCCCGATGTGGCCATGTCCAGAGGGACAGGGATGGCCCCAAGCTGCTCAGCGTCTGCTCAGCTCTGAGCTATGTCCATCTCTCCCCCATCCCCAGCAGCGTGCTGGACTCAAGCTGTTGGCATTACCAAGAGGGCCCGGGCAAAAATGTGCCCAGGGTTTGGTGGTGAACACCTTGAGGGGCTCTCCTGCCTGGTCAGCAGGAACTCTCGGGCATCTCAAAGCAGCTAACAAGCCGTAAGCTTGCAGGACACCTGAATTATCGTCCTGCTGTTGCCAGAGGCTGCTGGCAGGGCTGTGAGCGATGCAGCCCCCCCCGTGCTTGTGTTTCCATCGCAGAACGAAGTCACGCTACTGAGGAACGAAGTTGCTCAGCTGAAGCAGCTCCTGCTGGCTCACAAGGACTGCCCCGTCACTGCACTACAGAAGAAAACACAGGGCTATCTCGGTGAGTGCTGGCTTCTGCCGGTCCCTGCTGCCCCTGAAGTAGGTCGAACCACCAGAAACCTGCTAAAGGCATTCAGGAAGGGAGCCTTTATCTCAGCCTCTGCTCCATCACCTCCCTGCTCCTCTGTCTCCTGCTCGGAGCATCCGTACCGGGAAGGGTCCTGCTGGGGAGGGAGCTGCAAATCATCATTTTAACCCGAGATCTTGCAGCCCAGGGGTGAAAGCACTGCAGGGAGGGAGGCAGTGCATCTCCCTCAGCGTGGAGCATTTGACAGAGATCCACGGCTCCGCTCCTCCCCGGCGCGCAGGCCAGCGTCTCGGGCAGGCGGCGTGCCCGGCGCTCGAATTCTCTTTGAAGTTACCAAGTCCTGCTGCTCCGCGAGCAAAGCCAGAGTCAGGAAAGGCCAGACTCTAAATGACATCATGGGGCTCTGTATCTCGTGCTCTGCAATTCACATCAAATTGGCTTTGGAAGTTAGAAGGCCTCTTTTTATCCTTTTTTTTTTTTCCTTTCTTTCATTTTTATTTTTTTTTTATGCTGCCTATTTCATTATAATCAACCCCGGAGCTAAACGTTACGTCTGGCTTCGTCGTGCCTCTCCTCTCATCTCTGCAATAACAGCTCCGCGCCGTGGCGTTCGTGCAGAGCCTCTGGAAGATGCTGGAGTCCCCAGGCGTTGCCTGGATAAAGGGGACAAGAGGCAGGGAGAAAAGGGGAAAAAAAACCAAAACCAAAGATTTCAGGCAGCATCCTCCCTGCTTAAGAGAGAGAGGCGACGGGATTTTTTCCTGTTAACTTCTGAAGTTTACAGTTCCCATTATTATTCCTGGCTGCTCCAATAATAGGAATTTGCCACACAGCTGAATAATAAACACAAAATTCACGCCGCCCTCCCCACGCCCCCCCCCCCCCCACCGGCTGTGCCTTTTTTATTATTGAGATTTGTGACTAAGCAGCTCCTTAAACCGAAATGCCAGATTCCCTCGATGGAATTACAGCTGCCTCATGTACAGTCGGGTTGTTTTATTCGTAATACCTTGTAAATCTCCTTTTGGGGATGCCAAACTAGTATACTTGCTCCGCTCGACCTTCTCTCTCACCGCCAGGCCAGTTTTCGGATCTGCTGCGCTGAGCCGCATCCTTCGGCGTGCCAGCAGAGGCCACGCCAAGGTTTGAGGAGGGAAGGGAAAAGGGGAAAGGGGCGCGATATCCACGCACCTGGCAGAAAGCTGAGCCCTCGGCTACGTTTGCCCGTGCCCAGGAAGGCTGCAAACCTCTCCTCTGATTTTCTGGCGTCCTGGGGTTTTACCCTCTCGACGTGGAAGAAGTATCCCGGCTCCTGCCATTATTCTGCTCTGTTAAAGGAAGGTGACCGCGTCTTACCCGTAATTCATCTCGCCAAGTGCACAGGAGGGAATTTCCTCCTGACATCTGCAGATAATGAGTGTATCCCCCCAAAGAGGAGAGGTCTGATTGCTCTCGCCTTGGCATTTGATAGGTCACAAATTATCCTCCGCCGTAGGAGCCCTGCCTGGGCGCGGGGGGCTGGTGGTGGGAGAGGATCCAAAGTTTCGGAAAGCTCCGAAAGGGGCGCGGGGGAAGGTCTCTGCCTTTGTTTGCCTCCCGTCCCTGCTGCAACGCCCCAGAAGAAATGGAGCAAGCCAACAGTTTGTGACGGGCTCTAATTGATTTTAATGTTCTAGAGCACAATAACGAGCAGGCCAGGTGATTTGTGTAAAAAACGGGCAAAAAAAACCTGCTGGAGTGCCTTTGCAGAAGGGTTTCCGTCGCGCGCGGTCCTGAGCGCTCACCCAACAGATGGTGAGGACGCCGAAGGAACCGTTCCGTCTCCGGGCTAAATGGCCTTGAACCAAGTACCACGCCAGGAAACAAGATGTAGGAGAGTTCATTGGTTATAACGAGGGAAGGGATTTATTACCAGGAAGGTTACGCTGGCTCTGCCATCCTCGGGGCGAAGCCGGCACTTTACGCCTTCCTGGCGTGAATATTGGGAGGTTTGGGGGGGGTTCTCCGAGGGAAGGGTCCCGCCGGGTCGTTACGGCCCCACTAATCAGTTTTATTTCCAGGTCCTCACTCGCTTTTGCCAAACAGCTGCTCTGGCTCGGCCTCAAGGGGAGCCCGATTTGGTGGGGGGAGCTGTGGTTCCTGGAGGGATCGGCCCCTCTATTCCTGGGCTGATTTGGCTAAAAAAGGGGAGCGTTAAGTAAAACCCAACCAATTTCTGCCCCCGCAGCAGCAGCAGCAGCCTCCCATCCCATCACCTCTCCCTTAGCACCAGGAGCAGCACTCAGAGCCTCTCTCTAACCACTTTTTATTTTTTTCTCCTTCCCCCCCCCCCCTCCCTTTTCCTCGAGCAGAAAGCCCGAAGGAGAGCTCGGAGCCCACCGGCTCCCCGGCTCCCGTCATCCAGCACAGCTCCGTCACCGCCTCCCCCAACGGGCTCAGCGTCCGCTCGGCGGCCGAAGCCGTGGCCACCTCGGTGCTCACGCAGATGGCGAGCCAAAGGACAGAACTGGCCGTGCCGCTGCAGCCCCACGTCATCATGGCCCCACAGTCGCAGTCTGCCGGCAGATGATGGCGCAGCCCCCGCGCGGGACACGGAGCGAAGCAAAGCGCGGACTCTGCCCGTCCCCGAGTCCCCGAGCGGTGGGGACGGAGATGGATTTTTTTTTTTTCTTTTCTTTTTTTTTTTAAAAAAAGTGAGTTAAGGGCAGCTATATGGCGCTTCTGACACTGCGTAGCCTGTACAGATCCCAGCCCCGAACCGCTGCCGTGCGCGCCCAACCCGTCCCCGCCGGGCGGCTTCGCACCCAGCGCCTTCTCGAAGCCTCCGGCACCGTGCGGAGCCACCCGGACACGCGGAGCCTCGCTTTGAAAGCACCTCGGATGGTTTGCTTTCAGGAATCAGTTCCATTAACACTAAACCTCCGTGCTCGGTGGATCCCCGTGGCGCTCTCACTCGTCCCAGTGCCCCCCCACCCCCACGTTCCCTCGCCCTGCGCTCTCAGCAAAGGAAAACGCAGCTCCTGGGAGGCTGTGACATTTAGCCGTGCTGTCAGTGTATTTTATTTTTAACAGCATGCTGCTTCCAGGCATCTGCTCTCCCCCCTCACCACCACTTTAGCTACCTGAAACATTGCACCTTCGGACGAGGAAGCCTCCTTGAGCTCCGAGGTTAAAGGGATCGAGGTCGCTCTCCTCGCAAGATGCCGGCGACGCTTTTTTGGAGCACGCTGACGTTACCGGAGCCGAACCCCTGCAAACCACCGGTCGCTCGTGCTGCCCCGGGAGGTGTCCCCGGGCCTCCCCCAGGCAGCAGGGACAGGCACCGGCCGCTCTAGCAGCAGCGGGGCTGCTCTTGCTCTTCCTTACAGTAACGTGGCGCCGACTGCGCCTTCGGGGACCTGCGGGGACCTGCGGGGACCCACGCAGCCGGGAGGTACGCGAACGGAGGAGCTGCCCCAGCTCCGGTGATAATGTGAGCCCCAAAATTCGTCCCTGCTCTCAGCCCCACTGCACGCCTTAGAGAACAAACCCCTCCGGTTCCAAGGATCGTCTCCTTGACGCGTAACCTTAAAGAATGGTGGCCTTAAATCCTGGATCGTTGCCTGTTCCGAGGGGAGGGAGCGCACGGCGGCGTTTCTGTTTGCCCGGCCTTTACCTCTTCGTCACGATTGTCTTCTGCTCTTGATGATGGCGCACGAAATGCTTCCGAGCCAGAGCAAATGAAGGATTCGTCCTGCTCCCAGGGCAGCCTAACAGCCGGCCTCGATGTTGGGGCTGTGTGCGCTTCCCAGGGCCCTCGCTGGCCCTTGGCAGGTGATGCTCGCGGGCTGGAGTTCGTCTCGTGGAAGCTGGAAGGGGCACTGGGGGTGCTGGGGCTCTTCCAAGAACCCTCCTCAAAGCTCGTCAGCCCTCGGTCTTCCTGGCCTCCCCCTTGGGGGGGGGGGGGTCTCTCCCTGCCGGACCCCTTTGCCCCCCTCCTCACCCGAGCTCCCGCCCGCCTCAGGTCGCACTCGCCACTTTTGAGCCAAGTTGGTTTGTCAAAGCGATTCGTCCCTTTGGCTTCCCTGCACTTGGAAGGTCCCCAGGGACAGCAAAACCCAAAGCAAAGCGCCCGGCCCCGTTACGGCCGGGCAGGGCGGGTGATTTTTGGTTTGCCCACGGATGGGCTCTGTCTCCTCCCCTCTCTTTTTTGGCTTCTCCTCGCCCTCTCTCAGCGGTGCCAGCTCCAGCTCCTGGGTTCGGTTTTGGTTTTTGCCACCTCTGCTTTGTCCCGCTCGTCTCGTGCTCCGCTGGCCTCAACCACTGCCCTTCTGCTTCAGACCCCGCAGCAGCCCCCAGCTCCCCCCTTGTTTCCCGAACGCTTTTTCTGCAGGGATTCTGCCCGAAAACGGGTGTCGTGGCTCTCACTGCCCCAACAGGCCGTGTTTTTGCGGTGAGATCGAGCTGGGAGCGGGGCCCACGGGGTTTTCAGCAGGGTCCTTGGGGTTTTCAGCAGGGTCCTTGGGGTTTTCATCAGGGTCCTTGGGGTTTTCAGCAGGGTCCTTGGGGTTTTCAGCAGGTCCCACATCCCCACGGGAAGGGTTGGGGCCAGGGGAAGCAGCCCCTGCGCCGCGCCCCCTCCTGCCAAAACCCGCGCTGGGTTTTGGGCAGCGTTGAGCGAAAGCGTCTCCCTTCGCCCAGGGGTAGCAGGCATGACAAAAATGTCTCGTAATGACAAAAATGTCTTTGTAAAACATTGGCTTCGTCGCCCAGCTGGGTGCGCAGCGCCTTGGAGCTGCTGACTGCGGCTCGCCAGCTCCTCCTAGGCTGCAGCGAGGGCTCAGCGTCCAGGAACGGCACCAGCACAAGTCTTGAAGAGCAGGGAAAGGAGGAATTGAGGCAAGGAGCAGCCGGGGGCCTCGCCACGGGCTGGTGGGGTTGGCAGGAGGGGGCACAGAGCGTGGTGCTGGGGGGCTGCGAGCCCAGGGCAGCGCTGGCGTCGGGTGCGGCAGCGTCCCCGAACCCCAAATTTTCCCTTTAGGGACTCGGAGTGACCCGGCTCAGACAAAAAGCAGGTGGTGAGGGGAGAGCTGGTGAAATCCCGGCCTCAATGCCATCACCAGACACCCCCGGGTCGCTCGGACCTGGCAGGTGAGGGGGGGGCCCTGCAGATTTTCTCCCTGTGCCTCCCCGCTTCGCTGCCCAGCTCCAGCATCTCCCCACCCCAGCTCCCCTCCACGCGCAGTGCCTTGAACAGACCCGGAAAGCCATGAAAAAAAAAAAAAGAAAAGGTTGTAAAGCTCCAGACCTGGGCAGCAATAATCAGGGAACAAGTTTTTGATGAGACCTTAACATTTGTGTTGTTTTTGCTTTTAATTACCAGGGTTGCAGCCGTCCTGAGCCCCTTCAGGTGCGGTTCCCTGGGACTTGCACCCTGCGGAGCTCAGCCGTGCCCAGGGCAGGTCCCGGAGCAGGTTCCAGGTCCTGGTTTGTGACAGTCCCTGGCTGCAGGGAGGGGGACAAAGCTGAATCTTCCCACTGAGCTCCTCAGGAGGAAGGTAGCCCAAAAAATCCGGCGTGATATTTCGCTAAAACATCTCCCCAAACGGCCCCAAGCAGCGGGGCAAGGCTCTGCCATGGGCGGGCATCCCAAGCCATAAATTTGGGGCACCCCGGAGAGGTTCATCACTTTTTAGGGCTGCAAAAGGTGCCCGGCAGAGCTGAACGTCACGAACCGGTCACATTTCCAGCACGAGGGTCAGGGTTGGTTGTAGAGGTTTTTTTTTAAGAGTTGTGGGTGTTGTTTTTTTTTAAGAGATGACCATTTTTAGGGTCTTTGGAGAAACGGGTACACGGAGAGCAAGTTTTTCCCCCCATGCTTTTCCAGCACCTCCGTGCTGATGGAGCGGCTGCGTGAGGATGCGTTGGGCTGCCTAATTAATTAATTAAAACCTGGCTGCCAAAAAGCAGGGGGACAGCGTGGTTTTGTAACCCGGAGCCAAGCAGCCTGCCGAGCCCCCGCGTTGCTTGGAGGCGCTTTGTTCCCTGGGGTAGCGTGACAGTAGCTGGAGGGGATGTGCAGGGGTTTTGGGGGGATTTCGGGGATTTTTCGGCTGGGAGGACGGACTTTGTGGCAAGTCTTTGGTGACAGGGGGTCCCCCCATGTGGACAGGCAAGGGAAGAGCTGGTGTCTGCTCGTCCTCCTGCTTCAGCTCTTGCACAGAGACAGATTCAGGTGGGGGTGAGAACCCAAATTCTGCTCCAGGGCCGGCAGCCCCCCCCCCGAGCGCGTGCACCTTCCCCTGCCAGCCCCCGGCCGTGGTGCCTTAAAAAAAAACAAAAAAAACAGCTTTGTGCCCCTTCAGTCTCACGCATTGCCCCCAACCCCAGCTTTGCAGCAGCGTTTTTGGACCCCCCCCCCAGGATCTCCAGCCCCCACCTGGTGATGGGGTGGGGGGAGCCGGGGGGACTTGGGGCCTTTTTCCTCCCAAATCCCCCCCCGTGTCTTCCTGCTTAGGGCCGGAGCCGAGGGCTCAGACGGGAATTGGGTTGGTTTTGGCCCCGTTTGTTTGGTTCCCCCCCCAAATTTCGTGCACGCGGGGGCGGTGGCGACACCGCAGCCCCCAGCCCCGTGCCGGGAGGTGCCCGCGGGACCCGTCCCCACCCTGAGCTGCTTCGCAGGGCGAGCGCTGACGATCACGAACGGAAAAAGCCAAGAAAAAGGAAAACACCCCCCCTGCCCCCCCCCCCAAAAAAAAAAAAGCGTACCCCGAGGGTGTAGTATCTATAAAGAAATGCATATCTACGAGTATATACAGACCTATATAGACATATAGCAACGTCCTGAACGGATGCGCAGCTCCTTATGCAACGAAATGGTTCCCCCCCCCCCAAATAGCCCCCCCATGGCCCCCCCCAGGGGCCCCCCCAGGGACGCCCCCGCAGGGGCTCCTGTGAGCGGGTCCTCACAGCCCCCCGCGGGGACCCAGGGACCGGGGTAGGGGGGGGTGGGGGGGGGTGGGGGGGGTGACCGGGAGGGGGGGGGACACGGTGGGGGGGGGGGGGGGGGACACGTTCCCCGCCCCCCCCCCCGTCGGCCGCCTCGTACCAAACATGTAATGTGCCTTTTATTTATGCTGCAGATATAACATTAAAATATTACCGAGGAGATGGTGGCTGCCGCCCCCTGCTTGGGGACAACCGCGGTGTCACCCTGGGGGGGGGACACGGGGCTGGGGGGGGGAACACGGGGCGGGGGGGGGGACGGGACACCCCCTTGGGCATCACCTGCAAGGGGAGGGGGACGCTTGGGGATGACACTTGGCTGTCACAGCTGCCTTAGGGGGGGGGGGACACGGCTTGGATGGCAGCTGGGTGCCACCATCGGGCCCCCCCCCTCCGTGGGAACCCCCCCCCTCGATGGGTTGGGGTCCAGCGGTGTCACCGTCCCGCCCCGGTGGCACTTTTTGGGCACCGGTGACCTCGGGGACAGCCCTCGGGTGGGCGCCACCTCCGTGGGGGGGTGTGTGTGGGGGGGTGAGCAACCGCCCTGCCCCCTCCCCTACCCCCCAGAAAGGGAATTTTTGGGGCGAATTCAGCCGGATCGGGGCCGGGGGGGGGGGGCAGCGCAGCCGGGACCGCCCCGTCGGGGCTGCAGGAGCGCGGCGGGGCCACGGGATGGCGGCAGAGAGCGGCGAGGGGGGGGCCGGGGGGGGCCGGGGTCGGGGTCGGGGGGGTCCGGGAGGGACCCGGGGCAGCTCCGGGACCGGGGGGGGGGGCGGCTGGGGCCGGGGACCAAGGGCTGGGGGCCGCCGCTTCCCCTGTCCCCCCCCCCCCTCCAAGCCCGTCCCGTCGCAGCCCGTCCCCGGCGGCGGCGGCTGTCGCGGCTGGTAAATGACTTTAATTAGCGGCGGGGCCGGGATTGATCCCCGCCATCCCCCCCCCCCCCCCAAGGTCCCCCGGGACCCCCCCGGGCCGTCCTCGAGCCCCGGTCCCGCTATAAGAAGCGGCGAAGCGGGGTGGGGTGGGGGGCGCAGCGGCGATGGCAGCGCGCTTGGAGGCGGCTCTGCTGCTGCTGCTGCTGCTGGGGGGGGTCCTGCCCCCCACCCGCTCCTGTCCCGGGACCCCCGGTGCCGGTGCCGGTGGCGGTGGCGGTGCCAGCCCCGAGCCCCTCCCGGGGACCCCCGGCCCCGCCGCGCTGGGGGCGCTGCTCCGCTCCCTGCAGCGCCCCGGCCGCAGCCCGGCCCCGCTCCTGCAGCCCCCGAGGTGAGATGGGGGGGTCCCGGGGGGGGGGGTCCGGGGTTGGGGGACACCGGGGGACACCGGGGGGTGGGGGTAGGAGCGGGACCAGGGGTCCCGGTGGTGTCCGTCTGTCCGTCCATGTGCTGTGTCTGTCCCCGTCGGTGCCCCCTCACCCCCCCCCCCCGTGTGTGTGTCCCCATCGGTCCCTCAGGTTGTTCCCTGTCTGTCTGTCTGTCCAGCCCCATGTCCGTCTGTCCCTGCCTGCCCTCCTGGCCCCGTCCCTGGCACGGAGTTTGTCCCCTCCCGTCCGTCCGTCCGTCCCCTACATTGCCTGTCCCTGTTCCCTTCCGTCTGTCTGTCTGTCCCCTTCATCTGTCCGTCCCCATCCCCTTCCATCTCTCTGTCAGTACACGGTGACGCAGGAATCGGGGCCGGCGCACCGCAAGGAGTTCACCATGACCTGCCGGGTCGAGCGCTTCGTGGAGATCGGTACGGGGTCGAGGGGGGCCCCACAAGGCCTGGGGGGGGTCCAGGCTCACGGTGTGACCCCCCCCTGCAGGCAGCGGCACCTCCAAGAAGCTGGCGAAGCGCAACGCGGCCGCCAAGATGCTGGTGAGGATCCACAACGTGCCCATGGAGCCGCGGGAGGGCAGCGAGGCCGAGGTGGAGGAGGATCAGTTCTGCATGGTAGGGGGCGTGGGACCCCCCCCCGGGGACATCCCGAGGGGTTAATGGGGTCGTGGGGGGGGGGAAAAGGACACCCTGAGGGGTTAATGGGGCTGTGAGGGGGGGAATATGGACACCCCAAGGGGTTAATGGGGTCATGGGGGGGGTGTGGACACTCTGAGGGGGCATGGAACCCCCCAGGACACCATAAAGGGTTAATGGGGTCATGGGGGGGGGGAAAAGGACACCCCAAGGGGTAATGGGGACATGGGGGGGGAATATGGACACCCCAAGGGGATAATGGGGTCATAGGGAGGGGAACATGGACACCCCAAGGGGATAATGGGGACATGGGAGGGGTGTGGACACTCCAAGGGGGGCACGGGACCCCCCCAGGACACCCCAAGGGGTTAATAGGGTCATGGGGGGTGTAGACACCCTGAGGGTTAATGGGGACCAGGGGGGGTGTGGACACCCTGAGGGGGTCACGGAACCCAAACCCCAATATCCCCATGTGGGGGGGCCCTGCCTGGGGGTCCCAGCAGCCCCCATATCCCTGGCAAGCCCTGATCCGGGATCCCAAGGTGCCCTAAAAGCATCCCCACATTTAGGGACCCCTCCCCACGCCACGTGCATCCCCACGGGGGGGGGGTCCCTGCGTCCCCTGATCCCCCCATTCCCCCCCCCCCAAATTTGTCCCCGCAGGCTGGCCCCCGGCTGGAGGGGCTGCGGGGCCGCGCCGCCGGCTGCACCTGGGACTCGCTGCGCAACTCGGCGGGAGAGAAAATCCTGCAGCTGCGCAGCCACCCCCTGGCACCCATGGGTGCTGGCGCCTGCGCCCTCCTCCAGGAGCTCTCCGAGGAGCAGAGCTTCGCCATCAGCTACCTCGACATCGGTGAGACCCCCCTCCACCGTGCCCCCCCTCCATCCTGCCACCCGTGGGTGCCCCAGCCAAAGCTTTGGGGTGCTTTGGGTGCTGCGGGAGGGGCTGATGGTGTCCCCCCGTGTCCCCCTGTGCCCCCGTGTCACCTTTGTCCCCTGTGTCCCCTTTGTGTTCCCTTTGTGTCCCCTGTGTCCCCCTTTACCCCCCCGTGTCCCCCGTGTACCCCTTTGCTCCCCTGTGTCCTCTGTGTCCCCTCTTGTCCCCCTTCGTCCCCCCCATGTCCCCCTTTATCCCCGTGTCCCCCTTGTCCCCCTGTGCCCCCCATGTCCCCCTGTGTTCCCCTGTGTCCCCTGTGTCCCCTTTGTCCCTCTGTGTCCCCCCGTGCCCTCCCGTGCCCCCCTGTGTACCCCTTTATCCCCCGTGTCCCCCGGTGTCCCCTATGCCCTCCTTTATCCCCCCATATCCCCCTCTGTCCCCCTGTGCCCCCGCATGCCCCCCTGTGCCCCCCCCATGTCCCCCTTTGTCCCCCTTTATCCCCCCGTGTCCCCCTGTGTCCCCCTTGTCCCCCTTTTATCCCCCTTTGTCCCCCCCCAGACGCGCTGAGCCTCAGCGGGCTGCACCAGTGCCTGGTGGAGCTGTCGACGCAGCCGGCCACCGTGTGCCACGGCGCCGCCCCCTCCCGCGACGGCGCCCGCTCGCAGGCGGCCCGCAACGCCCTGCAGTACCTGCGCATCATGGCGGGGGGCAAGTGAGACCCCCCCCCCCCGCCTCCCACCCTTCCCTCGGCGTCCCCCCCCACCACCCTCGGCCAGACCCACGGACGCCCGGACGGACCCACGGACACCCGGAGCCAACGGGGAGATGCAGGCGGAGTTGGGGAGCTCCAGGGGGAGCCCCACTCCCCCCCCCCCAGGAGAAAACCTGGACCCCCCCCCGCCGACGGACACCCCGGTGGGCGCCCAGCCCCACCCACGGACACCCAGACGGACACCCGGACCCACGGACGCCCCCGTGGGCACCCGGACGGACTCTGGGACGCACGGACAGACGCACGGACAGACACACTAAGGCCCCAGACGGACCTCAGGGCCGGGGGGGGGAACCCCCCCCCCAAAAAAAAAAAACAACACTTGCCCCCCCCCTCCCTGCGGGTGAGGCGGGTCCCTGGGCAGCAGCCAGCCCCCAGGAATAAAGCTGGGGGGTTTGTAACCGCCCCGCCTCGGCGTCTTCTTGGGGAGGGGGCCGCGGGATGGATTGGGGGGGGGGACATAATTACAGGGGGGGCTCTGGGGCGACACCAGGGCGAGTGTTGGGGGCTGAACGGCGCTGGTTTATTGGGGGGGGGCTGCGGAGCGACGGGCAGGGGTGGCGGCGCTGGCACAGCCCCACGGATGGACAGACAGACGGATGGATGGATGGATGGATGGATGGACGGACAGACGGATGGATGGATGGATGGATGGATGGATGGATGGACGGATGGATGGACGGACGGACGGACAGACGGACGCTCAGCGGCGGCGGCCGAAGCGCTGCGGGGTCGCCATGGTCCAGAACGGGGCTGTCGGAGGGTCCCAGCTGCGGGGGCTGAGCCGGGCCAGGACCCCCGGCCCCCGGGGAAACCTGGACGGGAGGGGAGGGAGCAGCCACTGGTACCGCCGGGGGGACGGACGGACGGACAGGGGGACAGGGACAGGGACACGGACAGACGCGACGGGGGGGCTCAGGTACAGAGGGTGACGGGAAAGTGGCTGGGGACAGAGGGATAAAAGGAGAGGGATGGGGACAGGGAGGGACAGACGGACAGAAGAGGATGGGGATGGAGAGACGGAAGGGGACAGACAGAAGGGGACAGGACAGATGGACAAAAGGGGATGGGGACGGATGGACGGAAGGGGACGGGGTTGGACAGATGGAAGGGGACAGATGAAGGGGACAG